CCTTCCTTCCTTCCTTCCTTCCTTTCTTTCTTTCTTTCTTTCTCTCTCTCTCTCTTTCTTTCTTTTTTTTTTTTTTTTGTTTTTTGAGACAGGGTTTCTCTGTGTAGTTTTTGGTGCTTGTCCTGGATCTCACTCTGTACACCAGGCTGGCCTCAAACTCCCAGAGATCCGCCTGGCTCTGCCTCCTGAGTACTGGGATTAAAGGTGTGCGCCACCACTGCCCAGCGAGACAGTTTCTTTAGGTAGCTGAAGCTAGCCTGAAACCCATGATAAACTCTCTCTTATAAAGTCAGCCTGCTTCAGGCATTTTGTTATAGCAATGAAAAATAGGCTTATACACTCTTCAAAAAGTATCACACACACACACACACACACACACACACACACACACACACATGCCCTGGTGGAGGATCCCTCCATGCACCACAATTATAGAAGACATCCCAGCCTTTCATTTCATTGTATCTGCACACCATACTGTCCTGAAGGGGTGATGTCACTGATTGATTCTCCTTAGTACACAGGGAAGCAGAAAGTCAGGGAAAGCTAATGACACATTCAAAGTCTCTGAGGAGACTGGAGTGAGTGGTGGTGGGCCTGGGCGGCTGTTCCTCACATACAAAAGCGTGATCCTGGGAGGACCCTCTGGGCAGGAGGATGCAGGACTAGATGAAAGTAAAGAGCTTCCTGCAGAGATGCTGGGCTCCTGGCAGAGCCCCTTAATTCCAGCCAGCCCAGGGCTCCTCCCACAGGACCATCCCTTGCCCCCTGCAGAAGGAAGCTGTGCAAATCTCACCCCCACAGATGCTGTGAAGTCCTCAGATACCCCAAGTCCAGGACAGGAGGCAGTAAGAGCAACCTCCACTTCATGGACTTTGCCAAACGGGACCTCCAGTCATTCAGTAACCACGCTTTCCTCGTTCCCATCCTTACACGATGCTGTGCCCAGAATCGTGTGGGTGGAAAGCAAAATAACTCACCCACCACCACTTACTTACTGAGCCATTATAAGAAGGCACTGTGCCAAGTCCTGGGCATGGTTCCTGCCTTCCAGGAGCCCACACAAAACTACACAAACAACCAAGCCGCCACTGCACAAACTGTGGCCTGTGACATGTAACCAGCTGTAGCATCACAGGGGCCTCACTAGATGTTCAGATTCCAAGGGTCCATCCCCCAGGACCAAATGAATGGGAATCCCTGAAGTGTGGCCCAGGAATCTGCTTTTTAAAACTTACCCATCAGAGGCTGGAGTCTGTCTCTGTGGTTAGGATCTAGCTACTCTTGCAGATAGCCAGAATTCACTTCCCACCACCCACACTCTCACAACGCCCTCTCTAGCTCCAAAAGATCCAACACCCTCTTTTGGCCTCTACAGGCGTCTGTACACATGTGTGCATACACACATCCAGTCGTACACATAAGTAAAAATAAATAAAACTGAAAAAACTTACCAAGTGACTCACATTATATACATACATTTTCAAATTTTCAAGAATCTGTCATCAACCTCCCCCCTGCCTCACACACACCTTGGCTCACCTTAACCCTCTTCCTTACCTCATATCCAGAGACCTATTGATCATATTACTTTATATTTTATCCATAGATAGATAGCTAAGCTTTGAGAGCAACAATTTGGGATTGTTTTTTTTTTTTCATTGCCATAGCATTGGTTACCTAGCAAAGTTCTAGCACAAAGCAGTGATCAATAAATGTTTGTTGATTAAATGACAGATGATAGAACATGCCACATCCCACGCAGTACTAGTCATTGGGAGAGCCTGGAGAATGAGACAAGGTTGATGGCCACAGAGTGCTCCATGATAGTGGCACCCAGGTCAGCCTTTAGGGGGGTATCAAACAGAGATAAAGGATGCTCGGAACAGAGAGGTTAAATCTTTTACTGGAATAGGTGGCAGGGGGTTGATAACACCATCAACTAATCAATACCTGGTTTGTGCCAAGAACTATCCTAGCCTGCACCCTTCACTCCTGTATCCTGAATCTCAGAAGGAGGCAGTGTCATCCAGAGGGTGGGGCTGGAGCATGACTGCTCTTCTCAAGGACCCAGGTTTGATTCCTAACACCCACATGGTGACTCAGAACCTCTGTGACGCCCGTTCCAAGGGGATCTGAGGCCCTCTTCTGGCCTCCAGGGGCATTGCATGCTCATCCTACATATACATATAGGTAGGTAAATTACCCATGCACATAAAACAAAAATAAATAAATCTTAAAGAAAAAACTTTAAGAGGGTACCTAGGCTCAGTGATATTAAGTAATTTGCTCTCCCCACAAAAAGACTTGTAAAAGAACATTTGCGGCAGCTTTATTTACACTTTCCCCAGACTGAAAATGAACGCAAATGCCCATCATTAGGTGAATGAAATAATCAAGTGTGCTGTACTTACAGAAAGCAATACCACTCAACAACAAAGTGGAACAAACCACACACACACACACACACACACACACACACACACACACACACACACCCAACAAAGAATCTGAATGACAAGCTGAGCAAAAAAGAAGCTATACTCAGAATTCCTCTTTGCATATGAAATTCTAGGGCTTAAATAGAGTTAATAGTCCTAAATTGAACTGAAACAAACTGCATGGGCTAGAAATCAGGAAAGAAGCCATCACCCACCGAAGGGCACAAAAGGGGCTTTCTAGGGTGATGGAAATAGTCTCTACCTAGACCTGATTAGTGGGTACCTGGGTGTTTATATCTGTCAATCTCATTTACATTTTATTAAATTAAGTCATACTCAGTAACAACAAAGATCTAGAGAGCCCAAAGGTGGCTTAGTTGGTAAAGGCACCTGTTGCCATACCTAATAACTTAACTTTGACTGCTGGGACACACACACAGTGGAAGGAGAGAGTCTTCTCTGACTCCCATGCATGCCCACACACATACATAAATACATGTATTTTAAACTTTTTTAAGGATCTAGAAATCATTTCCTCTAGTTCACAAAGCCACATATAGAGCTACAAAGCTAGGCTCACCCTGTCCCAGTGGTTAATTGGCACCAGTCTGTCTAGCTGAGCTGGGAGCTCCCTGCCTGGTTAATGCCTTCCAAAATCTGAATGGAAGGGATTCAATTCTCTGTGAATGGAAATCACAGGTCCCCTAGCCCCAAACCATGATAGATTCTCACACGGAGGCCAGACTGTCCTGCTGTGAATTAAGAAACTTAGATTCAACATCAATCGTGCCTTTCACCTGCTCAGTAACCCAAGGGTATACTGCTCCATGACTCAGTTTCTCCTATATGAAGCAAAGAGGAGATCAATAGTCCCCTTCATGAGATCCCAGATCCTCCATGCCAGAGGCCAGGAGTCCCTGTGCTTACCAAGCACTGTTACTACATTTTTAAAAGTAACATGCTTGCTTTATATCTGGTAAGTGGTTTTTCTAATACATGCTAATATTACCGTGATTAATAAATCACACAAGTATTTCGAAGCTAAAATGAAGCCACCGCGGCTTTTCATTATTGTGTGTTTTCTCAAACAAAAAACACCAAAAGAACAGCTAGTGCTCATGACTTCAGATGTAAAGGGGCTCGGAATCTCTATGCAGAGGATTGCTAAGGGGACAGTCGCCAAGGGGATGGTCGCCAAGGGGACCGTCGCCAAGGGCCCTTCCAGGTCAACTGCCCCTCGGTTGTCTGACATCGTTTGGGCGAATGCTTGAGAAGACCAGCCTCTTGTCCTGGCCCCAACAACAGAGCCCCAGTGTGTGGGCTGTGTCCTGGCTCTGTAACCCATTTTACACCACCGCGTAAGACAGACACACCGCCCCAGTGTGGCTGTTACCACACCTTAGGTCTCAGTTTACCCTTCAACTCTGATAGTGAGCCGCTGTGAGGAAGCCTGAAGCTTGGACATTTTCTTTTCCACAACCTTTCACCATCAGTTTCTGGAGTCTGAAAAAATGGGGTTCCTGGTCCCATTGAACCACCACAGAAGGACACAGCCCACTGGGGAGTCTACCAACAAGACTCTGGCTCAAGTTGAGCCAGGTGCTCCATCACCCCAGCATGAAGGACTGAACAGCAGATCTCACATCTAAGCACACGGGCACACCTTCCTCTCAAGCATTCTGGTGCCTTGTCCCACGCCCATAATCTCAAAACTTCTCCAGCTATGGGTCAGGGTCCTAGAGCACAGCTAGAAACCAAAATCTCCACCCTCCACTTCTGAGTCCTCCCCTGCGGGTTGCGACCTCGGAGGTTCTGGTGCTGAGTCAGAGGTTTCTAGAGCTTCCAAATTTAAAAAAAAAAAAAAAAAATACGCGAGGTGGGGGTGGGGTAGGATGGGGGGCTCAGCAGAGTCCTGCTTCCCAAAGGCGGCAGTGGGAGACAGTCTGTCCCCACTTTGGTGGGGTTTGCAGATACCTCACCTCCAAAAGACCTCTTCCAGCTCATCTCTACCTCCTCCCCAGCCTGGGTACCGGGACTTTAAGACACAAATGCCTAGTCTCCACCACGGCCTCCAAACCAGAAGGTGAACCCTGTCTTGCCCATTTGGTATTTTAAACGTAACAAAGCCAAGGGCAGATGACCCTCTGCCCATCCTTCAGCTCCTTGTAAAACTCCGCTTGCTGTTTTTAATCTATTTTCCCACCACCACAGTGGAAGCGGCTCCAGAACCCGCCTTCTCTCTAAGGCACCATCCCCCCTCTCAGGCTTCCAACTTTGCGGATCAGCGCACAAAAGATAATCTGCTCTCCCCTCCGAGAGATGCGTGCCGCCCACCTCCGGCCCGGGACGCCCCCCGCCTGCGCGGCCCGCGCCGCCCCGGCCAGGGTGAACTGCCCTGGGCTCCTGGCGGCAGCCGCTCCCTTAGGGCCTGAGGACGCACTTGCAGAGGCCCAGCCCGGGAGGCCCAGCGATCGGGCCGGACGCTCTGCTCCCTCAGTATCCCGGGAGCACCCCCGCAGCCAGGAGCTGGGCGGATAGCCTGTGGGGAAGGGGACAGACCTCACAGGGTCGCGGATCGAGCCATCCGACGCGCAGTCACCACGCAGCACCGCAGAGCCCGCGCGTCTGCGCCCCGACCGCCCGGAGACCCACGCGCTCTGCTCAATCCGGGCTCCGAGTGACGAAAAGCCGCGCTCGGCTCCAGCCTGACCCGGACCGACGCACAGACCTGGGGACGCACCGACCGACCGTCTGGCTTTCCAACTAAGTTTCAAAGTTCGCTTCCCTGCGAGGGAAGAGGACTCGGGCAGCTCGGCTGCCCCTGACCCTGCCCGCTGGGCTTGAAGAAGAGCTGGGGTCCGACGCCTTAGGTCCCAGGATCCCCGCACAGCTTCCGGACGGCGCCGCAGTACGGGGACTTGTCTGGCGTTGGGGACAGAGATCCCGGAAAAAAATGGGGGACTAGAGGTGCCTCCTTGCTGCAGCCCAAGCCTGAAGGGACGCTAGCTCCCCGATCGGGGAAGGGACAGGTCTTGATTGGACGCCACCATCATAGAATCCGAGGCGCCGTGGGGCAGTGACGGCCAATTAGTAAACGGCCCAATTAGTGCACTGCACCGACAAGTTAAAACCCCGACGCGCGAGTATGGACGACCGAGGGGTGGGGGCGGGGAGTGCAGGGTGCTGGGGTCCCTGGGTGTGCCCGGGTATGACTGCGTGCCCGTCAGGGCGATTTGTAGCTGAGGCTTCTCGTCCAGGGGATGGATCTGTGTGACCGACCGTGTGCACTCGTGGGTCATTGTGAGTGTGAGCTGGAACTGTCGGAGCTACTTCTTTGTGTGACTGTCCCCGGTTGTCACTGGCTGTGACAGCGGATAGGAACATGTGCAGCAGCGTTGTGTGTGCGGATAGGTGAAGTGACTTGTGTGTGTTAGTGTAGCCGTGTACGTGGGCGAGAGGCTGAGTGTGGTTGACGACAGATGACTGGCACGGTGACTTATGTGGGACGGTGAAGGCTGCGTGTGGGGCCGCCTGGCTGGGTGACAGAGAGTCGCTGCGCGTCGGCTTCTGAATGAATGCGAAGTGTGGGTGAGTGTGTCACCGTGTCGTCGTGCGGGTGGCTGTCGGGCTGACTTCTGCCTGTGATCTACAACTCGGGCGTGTGTGTGGCCGCGAGGGTAGCGGTGTGAGCGGCACGTGCCCATCGACGGGGCTGTTGTGTGCGTGTGTCCCCCGTGTGAGTCCCCAAAAGTGGCCGCGTCCGCAGCCGCGAGGTGACTCCTGCCCCACACTCGAGCCCGGGACACTCGGCCCCTGCCTACCTTGCCGCAGTGGTAGTAGTCCAGGTGCGCCAGGCCGGCCGGCTCGGCCCCGGGCCGCGCACCTACCGCGGGCGCCGAGGGATACAGGCGGACGTCCATGGCG